GGAAACTGGTAGTGCTTTAGTGTTTTTACTGCACTCTGACATACCTCCATTGTAATGATTATGTTGTACCGTCATAGGCCATTTGCTTATCTGTTTGCCCAATAGATTGTAAATTCCTTGATGGGCAGGCATTACCTTTTCATCCTTATATCCTCAGCAGGATTACCAATACATAGTGGACAGCAAATGAATATTTGTCTAATGAGTGAAATTAAATATATACATATGTCTGTCTGTCTCTATCTATCTATCTATCTATCTATCTATCTATCTATCTATCTATCTATCTATCTATCTTTATATATGAATTGTTTGGCTCTTAAATTCTTTGCTTAATCAACAGTGCCCCCCATCGCCACCCTGTGCTCCACATCCCACAGTTAAGTTTCCAGCAGGACTGGCAGGGTAAGACGCACCAATGCATTCCTTGTCTTTGTTGATAAAATAAGGTGCCAGTTGGCTGGAACCCTAATTTAGATATAAATTAGCAAATCCTGACTAGAAACAACTTGAAACCAGCCAGACAAGTTGTAAGAAGTTGCAAAGGTAAGATGTGAAGGAGAACGTGGGAGGCGGGTGGAGCAGGAAAAGATTGTCAGGACAAGATCCACCCACCCTCCGCAGGAATAACCGAATTTCTACTGACTTTCACTAATTTCTGTGAAATATACTCTCAAGAAGTCAAAACTGCGAAGAAAACGAAAACCTAGGCTGCAGAACTGCCTTCTTCCGGCCTACTGCTCTGATATTCTCCGCTGGGAGCTTTTTCACGGTTTCGAGTCCATCAGGCCTAAACCAAATAATCCAAGACAAAGCAGTCTATCCCTCACGTGGTGCCTCATCTGGCCTAGGAGGTCGAGGCGTGGTGAGTCCTCCCAGGAAGGCTCTCCCCGCAGGCCGCACAGTTCAGCCCTCTACGCCGGGGGCGGAAGGACCGTGCAACAGCGAGTGACTCACACCGCATCCTTCAACCCGGGGCGCTCTCCCCTCGGATCATCGTCCCTGCACGTGAAATGTGGGAGGGCTCTTGGAGTCATTCATTCTTCCGAAAGACTTTTAGGGCTTCTTCCTCCCTCTTTGGTGTCGGGGAGGAAGACGGAAGGGAAAGTGACCAGACTTAAGAAAAGGCGACGCACGCCGAGAGGAGGGGCCGAGTGGATTCCAGGGCAGCGCGGAGGCGGCGGGGCAGCGCCGGGGGTCAGGAGCGGGGCGGGCAGGGAGGCGAGGGAGGCCGGCGGCCTGACGCTACCTGGGGGCGAGCGTGTGAGGTTCTGGCCCTCGGAGTTCACCGCCTGCAGGTAGAAATAGCGGACGGGCAGAACGACGGCCGCCTGCAGCCCGGGCCCCCACACCAGGCTCCGCGGCGCGCTGACTGGGGTCTCAGGGGCCCCTGTGGCCAGGAGCAGGGTGACCTGCAGCGGCAGCAGCGGGACCCGCGCGAGGCGGCGCATGGTCGGCGGGACAGCTGCGGTCCAGCTCCGCCGGGGCAGGGAGGGGCCCGGCGCGCCGCAGCCGGGGCAGAGGCCCACCCTGGGGCGGGTCTCTGCGCGGCCGCCCGCCGTCCCGCCCCCGGCCTTCTCAGTGTTGGAATGCGATCCAGAGCGAGATCGCCGACCAGTCACAGCGCAAAGGCAATGGGCACCCCCTGACCTCCACTCTCCTGAGCCCGACGGAGGACAGAGGTGGAAGGACCCACGCAGAGAGACCGAGGGTACGAGTGGGCACTCTACGTTGCCCAGGCCCCTGCACGCCCGGCTCCACCTCTGGTAGCTTGAGTTTGTCACTATTTAGAGAAAACCTGGGCGAAGATCCGGTGGTGACTGCTGAAGGATGCTGGGACAAATCGCACAGTCCGCCGCCAAGAAATTTCCTTTCGCCTGAGAATTTCACCGAGTTAACCTGATGCAGAGCCCCTGTCAGGCGTCCCTCGCTCCCTCCTTACGCACCGCTTCTCAAGGCCCTCTGTTCGTACCAGCACTCGCCATTGTTCTCCTGTCTTCTGTGGTTTCTTTTCTTCCCAGAAGTCTCCCTCCTTAGAGTGTGATTCCCTCTACTCCTCCCCTTTCCCACCACATTCCCCTCTCCAGTGCTCTTTTCTGAACATTCATTGCGTTGGGTTCAAGCCTGGTGGCTGAGCCTCATCTCAAAGCTGGAATCTCTTCTCCCTGGCAATTAATGGAAAATGGCCTTGTTCACCTCCACCACTTCTCAGAAGCGGGAAACTGGGTCCAAGAAGAGACTGGTAGAGGCACCAAGAGTCTGAATCACTCTCCACCTTCTTTTTTGGCCATTTAATCTACATTTGTTGTTTTTCTTTGTCTTTATCTGTTTATGGCCTCAATCTATTCAAAGGAAATAAAGATTCTGTGAGAGAACTCACACCCGAGAATGTACACAGGGTTTCTGCACCCTCTAGGCAGACCTCAACCCTAACAAGTCAGAACCAGATCCTGGGTAGCCCTCTGTCTTCTCAAGCATTTTTGCTATGGCCAGTTTTTTGTTGTTGTTTGTTTGTTTTGTTTTGTTTTTTAGTTTTTTAGTTGTTTATGGACAGCAAGACTTTATTTTATTAGTTTATTTTTATTAGTTTATTTTTATGCGGTGCTTAGGATTGAACCCAGTGCCTCACACATGCTAGGCAAGTGCTCTACCACTGAGCTACAGCCCCAGCCCTATGGCCAGGTTTTATCAAGGAAAAAACTATCCCATATTTTTAACCAGTTTTTTTTGACTGATTTTAGAAAGCTAAACAGAGATAGATGGTATTTTTTGTACTTTGGAAAGATTATTGGGAGCTGGTAGTAAATCACTAGTAGATTGTAGGGCTGAACTATAGCGTTACTTGGTATTACTTTCACTGGTAAGTTTTCTGGAGTTGTCTGTATGTTTTAAATGGATTCCGCTTTGCTCTGTTCATCACTAACAATTGTATAGAACACATTTTCTTCACACTCTTCTAAATTCAGACTTAAAAACTTGGGGTAACACCCAGTCTTTTCATTTTTGTGAGAGCCCATCAAGGAAGTCATATAATTTATCCAAATACCCTCTTGTTTAGCAATACTGAGTCTGTACCAACCTGTTTTCTTTCTTATCTTAATCCATCTCCAAAGAGCATATCTCTTTAGATCAATCAATGCCTTGACTAGATTCTTTTTGGGGGGAGAGAGGTACCAGAGATTAAACTCAGGGGCACTCACCACTGAGCCACATCCCCAGCCCTATTTTGTATTTAGAGATAGGGTCTCACCTAGTTGCTTAGTGCCTCACTTGCTGAAGCTAACTTTGAATTTGCCATCCTCCTGACTCAGCCTCTGGAGCCGCTGGGATTACTGATATGTGCCATCGCACCTAGCTTGATCTGTTTGTTTATCATCAAATTTCATTCATTAAGTGAACTTTCTCTCTCTATCTTTCTGGTACTGGGAATTAAACCCAGGCCCTCAAACCCGCTAAGCATAAACTCTACCATTAAGCTATACCCCTAGCATTCAACAAACATTTGTTTTTAGTAGCATTCATTTAGTAGCATTGACTGTCTACTATATTTTAGATACTGTTCTTTGACTTCAAAGTGCCTGTAGTTTTGTGGAAAAAAAGGACACAGTGGTGAAAGCAGTAGTCAGAACTTCATGCTGGTTTCCTTTGCCCTCCAAATTCTGTGGGGGCAATGCAAGGGGCCTTTTATGGATGCCTAAAGTGAATTGCATTACAAGTGGGCAGCCCTGAGCTTAGGGAATTTACCACTTAAAGTAAACAGGATGAAGTCTACAACTTGTAGGTGGGGAGATGTTATCTCTTAAGTTTGATTGCTTCAAACACTACCCTGAGAAATGACCTGAGTGAAGAGCAGTTAAGGATTTACATACTTGGTAAACCTAGCAAGAATGTTCATGAATGTTCAAGGTCCACCACAGATTGCCTCTTCCAATATAAATACAGTGTTTCTTATACACTGCATATGAAGGCCAACTAACCTAATATTTGGGGATTCAAGAGAGTTCTGAAAGATGGTATCTATGCCAAAATATGAAGGTCAAATAGGAATCAGCTGCATAAAAGGAGGTAGACAGCATTTCAGATAGGAAAAATGTTGTGTATAAAACTTGAAGAAAATAATATCATCAACACTTTTCTCATTTCCTTTCACATTCATCTCCATATTTAGTTTCACTCTTGAATACAGACTTGTAGTCAGTTTAACTCTGGAAAGCCTAAGATTCAATATACTTCTATAAACTGCACTGGCCCCTGGAATCTCTTAGGAGTGATTTCTGGGACAAATTTTATAATTCAATGTGTTGGCCCATCTAATGTTCTGATTCTGCATTTTACTAATATTTACAGAGACAAATCTAATTCTGTGGCATGGTTTTAGGTACTGGAATTTCAGCCTAAAATCTATCTCCTCAGCCCTACTAATGGGTTTTGTGAGCAAAATGTACATTTAGTATGTATTTTTTTCTATTGAATCAGCTACAGATGATTCTATTGCCCACCACTAAAAACACCAGCTGATCCAATGTATTTTAAATTTTACCAAAGGACAGTAAAAATATTTTGAATAAAATGTTACGTGTTTCTAAGATGATGACACAATCTTGTCATTGGTAGAGAAAGGGTTTTGGGTTGCTTTTCCAGAAAAGTTCAGTACTAGATAGGTTGATGGTCTAGATAGATTAGTATAATCCTGTTAATTTATTTGCTTAGCAGGAATTAACTTGGCATGTCTTATATTTATTTAGAAAGACCTGTTTATCTTACATCAATGCTACCCCCAATTCCAGTTAGCTCCCTTTTCCTTTATAAATGTGAGAACCCCAGAAAGAAACACCAGACCCTAGGATTACCACGCCTGGCCAATCCTATAAGGCAAATATCACTCAAGTCATCAGAAAGATTGGTTTAAATACTTTTGCCCCACTCCTTTGCATTTTTCCTGGAACTTTCATGCCTAAAAATAATAATTCAAGGATGGAAATAAAAGCCAAGTCCGTGCATCTGTTTGAATCATTTATTTCAACATAACCATTATTTTAAATTTACATCTGTTAACATTTAATACCTAGAGAAGAGGTCTGAGAACAACTTCATAAAAGGATTATTTGACAGTTTTAACAAAAGTGCTATGACTTGTTTGTTTCAAAAACAGAATTGCCAAGTCACAAAGAGACACTTATTGTCTCTTGGAAATTGACTTGGAAAATAAAATGTTTACATATTTACACTGTACATTCAAGCAGGATTTTTTAAAACAGGCTATTCTGAAGCTTTATTAATAACAATAAACTTACTAGTAGGCCTCTTTAACCCTCTGGCATTCAATGGATGGTATTAATTTTACATAAGTGTGACTCTTCATGTGATTCCCATCTTTATCATAACCTAAGTGGACTTTCTTTCATCACCTCCAGGTCACATATTTACCTTCCATATGAAGTAGGGTGTTTTTTTTAGCCAAACCCTTTCTTATTGCAGTTGGGGTTTACTAACATCTATGTGCTTACGATATAAGGGCAAATTATTTAGAGGGATGTCCCTAAAAACTAAAATAATCTCATTAAGTCTTCTTAAATACATTTAACGGTATAAAGTTTGTGATTATAATAGGCTACTATCTAAATAAGTTAATAATTTGCTAGGTACTTATTAGTATTGATTCCCTAGTGGTTTACTCCATCTACATGAGAATTTATTTTAATAATGATATATATATATTTAAAAAACATTATGAGTATAAAATGACTAATATAAGTTACCATAGCTATGACCAAAAGTGAACATTACAAAAGCAGTTTGTATGTTAAAATACATAGAAATTTACTATACTTCTTTAACGAAGTGCTATTTATAAAAGTAGAAAACTGTACAAAGTGCTATTTTCATGAATTTTCCATTTTCTTGATTCTTGAGCCAGACCAACAGGCAAACATTACAAATAGTGCCAGGCAGCATTGGCCATCCATCACCTTGAGTTCAGACATTAAACTCCAGTGCAGAGTCTGGGCCTCAAAGCAGTTGTTCATCCTTACCTCACTCACCTAATTGGTGATAGAGCCTCATTCACCGAGAAACAAACTAACTTCATTTCAGTTTTTGTAGCAAACATGTAGATTCAAAAGTATGTATTGAAATGGAATTTTCAAGCTGATCATTTAAAAAATCAAGAATCATAATGTTAAAATATTTACTCTGAATATCTTGAAAATCACGTGGAGAATATAGGTCATGGTATACGAAAATTTAACTTAAATAATAAGATAAATAGAAAAAGGGGAAAGGTAGACATTACAGTGAATAAAATGTTATTCTCTGATTTTGTGTGTGTGTGCAAGGGATCAGACTCAGAGTCTCTTGTAGGCAAGCATTCTACCCCTGAATTGCTACACTCCAGCCCATTATTTATTCTTTATCATACACATTTAAATTCAAAAGTTCAGAACAAATTATTTAAAATTCTCCATATCTTTGAGCTCAACATTGGTGAAAGTTTGAAATTTAAAAGAGTTGACAGATTTAAGGAAGAGCTTTCATGTTAGTTACCTCATCTTCATTAGTTTTGAGTTTCATGGGAACAATGTGAACTAGCCCTGGAATTTTGCTTCTAGACAAGACAATGGTTAGGAGGATAATAATAACATAGTTCTTACATTTGTATCAGTGCCAGATCTTTGTACACTTCACCAACACCTGTCATTATCTTTAGTTTATATGGATGAAACCGTGTAAGTTAGAAAAATGGAAAATAAAATCAAATGGAAGCAAATGACAAATCAAGCATGACAAAAATGCACTCTTGGGGGGGCTGGGGTTGTGGCTCAGTGGCAGAATGCTTGCCTAGCATGTTCGAGACACTGGGTTCAATTCTCAGCATCGAGTACAAACAAATAAAACAAAGATCTATCGACAACTAAAAAGATTTAAAAAAAATTTTTTTTTTAAATCCACTCATGATGACTGTCACAATATTGAGTTCTCTGTAGGTCTAACAAATTATTTTCACCACTATCCTTTGGTCTTTACCCTGAAAGGAGTGAAATTTCCAGATGGTCAGCACGGCCGGCAACTAAAGAGTTAGGATCATTTATATTGTGTTCCCATGGACATAAAAATTTTTATTATTTGTATCATAAACTTTTGGTGAAAAGAAAAATGCAAAAATGCAATGCATTATGCATTTTTTTTTGAAAAAGCCTCAGAGTTCTGACTCTTTGTCATTTTCATCCAGGTAGTATTCATCATCTGTGGTAGTGTCTGTGTCACAATCTGAGTCCACTGGGTCCTCCTCATATATATTAAGTGGTTCGTTGGCAAATAAGCCATCTTTTGGCACCTGACTGCTAGGAGAATTTGAACTTAATGACTCTGATGTGTTGGAAGGATTGATTACGTCATCTTTCAGGAAGCCTGGGTTCTTAAGAAAACTTGGTTTCCATAATCTTCCTTGTGTGAGTGACCTCTTTACATTCTCCAAGAAAGCCAACTGTTGTTCTTTCCCAAAAATTCCATAGTCAATAGGTCTGGATATAGATGATGCAGACTTGGGAACTGTTTTTGTCCTGCTGCTATACAAAGTCCAACGTTCATTTTCATCACAGGAAGGAAGTTCAGAAAAAGATTTGAATCTTCTGCCATATCCAGCGTTGGTAGAGAATTCATTCGCAAGGCTCAGTTGACTCAGGGCATTGTCAATAGAAGTGCTTTCAGAAAAATGGCGCTCCCTGACTTTGGGAGGTCCACTTACATATAGCTGATCACCTAGCACACTGATGTTCTTTAAGCTCTTTGAACGATAGAGATGTGGCTCAGATTCCCTGTTCGGAGATGAAGCACACCTTTGTTGCTGCTGACAACTGGCCAGTGAGAGGTTGACTGTAGAATTTTGTGCAGGCTCCCGTGGAAAAGGAGGGCTCAGCCTCTTCTGCTGGTCAGAGAAGTCAGCTTCTCTGAGGCTGGTGAATGTGAGCTGGGTTGGGGTTCCTGATTCTTTTTCCAAAATCTGAGCTACTGTCACATCTTCAGAATTCTCATGCTTTGGGGGTGATTCTGAGACATTTTGAAACTCATTCTGATGTAGTTGTGAAATGTTGTCAGACTTCTGATCACAGGAGTGGCTAGAAGTTTCTCTGCCAGATGTTATCATATCCTGGAGAGGGTTCTCAGATTTCTCCATATTCATCCCATTATTACTCAAGCAGCTTTCATCTGTGGAACCTGTGGAATTTGGAGTAGGCTCAGGGGACAGTGGGTCACATTCCAGATTGCCAAGTGATAAATGGCCAAAGTCAGATTTGCTCCCGCTTTGGGGGAAGATAGTAGCTACATGTCTTCTAGGACTTAAGTCCTTAGTGGGGAATTTTCTGTTTGCTTTAGACATGGCTGCCAATCTATGTTTAACTGTAGGTTTGTTTTCTGCTTTTTCTGGGTTACCCAAGTTAGTTTTATTTTCATTACTCCCTCCAGGAAGTAAAGTTTGATCCCGAGCTAATTTCTGCATTTCATCTTTAACCTTCCTGCTTTCTGTTATATTTCCTGTTATATTTATATCCTGACTTGCTTGAGATGATTCTCTGGGTCCAGACTCTAAATTCTCTAAATCTTGTTCACCTGAATGAGTCTCTTCAACTACTTGCAGTTTATGGAATGCCGGAATTAAAGCAAAGACTCGGTTTTCTGAATCAGAAAGCATTCTATCAGTTCTTTTATGGCAATCTGTTTCAGTTTTCCCTCTGACCTCCCTTGGCTGTGATCCACTGGAGCTATCATCTACAAATATCACTGTGTGATCTTTTTGAGGACACTCTCCACTTGCAGTAGCTATAAAGTCTATACCACTACCTGCGCACTCCCTGGAACTTCTGGTTTGAGAATTTTCAACATTATCTTCTAAATGGGCTGGGAGACCATTTCCTGCATTAATGGAGGTTTCAGAGTTTTTGCCGGTACCATTTCTTTCCTGAAGCATTACTGATGTATGCAGGGTTCCACTTTGACATTTTCCCCCTTTCTCTTTTCTGCTTTGTAAATCACCTAAAGGTGTTTTAGCTAAGTTGTCTGGGGAAGTATTTCTAGTTTTAGATTCTCCCTTATGAAGACAAACATCTGTCCCAACAGAAGCCATTTCTGAGAGCCCATTGTTTGGTAATTTGAAGACAGCCATGTTTTCAGTGGTCTGAGAAAGATAACTTTGAGCAGAGTTGACTGGTACCGTTAGATCTTCAGCTGAAAGTGTTTCTGATTGGTCTGGTGGAGAATAAGTTGGTTCATCTCTTTCTAAATCATTAGGAAATGTTTCAGTTTCCACCTGAGGTGATTCTGTAAGTGGACTGGCATTTTGTGTATACCGTTGAAGGAGATCACAGAATTTTTTGCTGGGTTTCCTTGGTAGAGTATAATATATAGAAACCACCTCAAGGCATTTTACATTTTCTTCATCACCAGAAACAGAAAATGTGCTAGTTGTCTTAAATTTATGCAATGTTTTCCTGCATTCTTTTCCTGACGATTCTGCACAAAAAGGTAATGGATCTTCATCTGAAAGGGAAAATACACTCGTCCTGGAGGCAATAGTTTCACCATCCTTTTCGGTGCATTCTGGAGAGAATCCTTTTAGATGGTGTCTTTTGGTTAAAGAACAATCTCTAACAGATGAGTCATTTTCCAGAGAGTTAACCATTCTCTCCCAAGGGCTTGGTGTTATAGCATAAGTATCTGTGTCTGAAACTGATGGCTTTTTTCTTCCATCTTTTCCAGTTGAGGCACATGGCTCCCCTGAAGGACAGGACATAGCCCTCTTGATGAGGAATGGAAGTGGTCCTTTTCTGACAGAAGCATTTCGAATACCTTTCATATATGTCTTCTTCTCTGTGTCTTCAGGTGCTACGGGGACTGAGTCTGAAACACCTTTGGAACATTCACTTACCAACTCAGGAGAACTGGGTCTGAATTTGCTGGATTGATACTTCCCAACTGGATCTTCCACATTGTTTTTTATTTGGAATGGGAGTGGTCCATTCCTAATGGAAGCAGCCATTATCTTACTTTCAGGCTGTCTGCTGTTTATGAGAAAACTGGCTGATTTTCTTGGCAAGGTACAATAAATTGTGTTAAGCTCATTGCTTTGGTTCTCCTCAATGAGGCTACTGCCTTCACTGATGGGTATTGACCTATTTTCTATTTTGCTTAACTTTTCAATACAGGATATGCGACGTCTTATTTTCCCTTTTCCCCTTCCATTTCTGAATGGAGAGCATGAATGGCATTTGACAACATCAACCACTTCATCACTTACAGGCATGTGACTATCCGTACTCTTCTGATTTCCTGAGGGGCTTACAGCAAACTGATCATTTTGGTTTTTGCTAGCATTGTCCTTTCCTTCCCTTTCTTTCAGAAGTAGATCTTTGTCTGAAGTACTTTTCCTGGAGAACACTGTAGTAGAAGGAATCATAAGTTCATCAGGGAAAGAATTATTTGATGGTGAGGAATCTGGTGGTGCACCTGATGACAGACCTGAAGAACTGCTTAAGCTATTGTTCCCAGCAGCCAGCTTGCTACAGTTAGTAGAGTGAGTTGTGGGACATTGTTCAGTATCTGAAATAACAGCTTCCTCTGGAGACTGTGTGTTTTGAGTATCAATAGGTTCAGAGTGCCAGTGGTGATTTTTAATAATGCTTGAACTATCCTCACTACCTACTGTTAATTCCTGATGACACTCTTGATTTGGGCCAAGGAAAGATGGTGGTGTTATGCTTTCCTGGGTGAAAGAAAGGGAAGTTGCTGAACCAAGTTTTTTGTCCCCAGGAAAACTCTTCTCTTTTTTAAGTTCATTGGCCTTCTCTCTGTGTGATGCATACATTTGGGAAGTATCGTTCCTGGAAAAGACTCTGGGTGACCTTTTGAAATTTATTTTGGGAGGTTCATTAAAATTAAACCTATTGCTCTTGGCTGAGTCCTGGGAGAGAGAATTCTGAGAATCCGTTAAAGGGCTAGAGATCACTGTCTGTGAAACAGGTTGGGGTATTTCACCTGTTATGTTCACCTGGTCCATCTTGTTTAGTTGTTTGTCTTCTTCTAAAATAGATTCAGTCAAGTTCTTCTCATTATTCATTTCTGTGACCGAGATATTAAGGTGGCTTTCAGTCAGTGACAGAGAATCAGTTGAATTGCTATCTGTCACAATATCCTCCATATGGTTTCTTACTGGAAGGGTATCTGGATTATTTGGAATAATTTTCTGCAAAGTCACTGTAGACTGCTGAAAGTTGGGACTCTGAGAATTCCCTTGTTCATCAGGAATCCTGGAGAAGGAATTTTTGAATGAGGACACTAGAGAAGCAATTCCAAATGAGTAAGGTTCTTTGTTTATAAGTACTTCTCTAGGAGAACTGTCCTGATGACATTCCAACCCACTAGATTTGATGTGATAACCTGAACCAGTCCTGGAGTAAACATTAGGTGTGCCAAAATGAGTAGATTGGCTCTCATTACCAGGTGATATCTCCATGCTCTCTGGTGGGGAAGTTTGAAAATCAGGTTGCCACAGATGTGGCTCTTCTTGGCCTCTGAAAAGATTTGTTCCATAATGAGAAGAAAATGGTTCCCAGTGTCGAGAAGGGATACTATGACCATGAATAGCTGATGCACTATTTGCTTCAATGGAAATCATTTCAAAGTCTCTGTCAGAAGTGAATGGTTTCCTACTTGGATGAAAGTCAGAATAGGGAAAATATTCTTTCTGTTGGTTCCAAAAAGAACTTTGTCCAAATCTCTGTTCTCTGCTTTGTCTAAAGGTATTGCTAAAGAAAGACCTAGCAAATACGTTGTCTTGATAGTAAAATGGCATATTCTCTGAGTTCTCAAATGCATCAGGACTCATTGCATTATCCATGGGGGCATTTAAACTAGAACTCTGGAAAACATTCCGTGAATGGTAAAATTCATATCTCCTATTCTCCTGAAAACACCTTGGGTACATATAATGGTCAGCAGGGTCTATTTCCATGGGTGATGGTGCCCTCAGAAATTCTTCCTGGTTCTGCCTATCTCCAGAAGAATCTGATCTATTCCATATGATGGATGACAAAGGAGTTCTCTTTGGGGTCCGCTGGTGGCTTGGTGGTGGTACAAACCTACTCTTGTTCTGAGTTGTGGCTGGAAAATGTACGCTTCTTGCTGTGAAATGCCTTGGGGCTGATGAGGCTGTTCGTTGCCGGCTGTCAAAACATAGAGACGTACTACCAAGAGTATTCTTTTGCGCATAATCTTCTTTTAAGATTCTGGGCTCCCTTGACCTGTACATATCACAAATTGTCCTTGTCCTGGGAGAAAAGGTTTTAAAGCCTTCTCTAGGAGTTCCTGGTCGCAGGATGTCATAAATTGACATATTGGAAGTTTCATTGTAGCGATGTTTGTGTGTTCCTATGATATTGCCACGTCTGTTCCCACTGGAGTAAGAACGACTGAAGGGTGTTCTTGATCCGTAGTTTAGGGACATGTTGGTATTTACTGAACTTTCAGACTGCTCCTGAGCCAGTGTGCTATCCAAATCATCTAAAACTAAAGGAGAATATGAGTCAAATTTGTGTTTATTATTTTATAGTTTAATAATAATTTGAGTTGTGGAATGCCCCTCTTTAAGAAATATAATCATTTATAATTTTATTTTTACCATGCTATCATAATTATGATGACGTTAATTTTGATTATGTTTTTAAGATAGTCTGTTTTTACAAAACTGTAATAGAGGAAATCAAACTTTTTAACGTAAATGAGTTAAGAACAAATGCTATATTTTTCCTAACAATAAATTTTATTCATGGTTTCTTTTAGTGCATTTGAAGTTTACTGAGTTTTTGTAAGACATGGGCTAGTAACAAAAGAGAATTAATAATGTAGGTTGCAGTATTGGTTCTATCATTGAATAAATAGACAACCTGAGTATTATTAAACCATGTCAATTTCTTTCATGTCTCCAAGTGGCTATAATATTTCAACTATGTTTGCCTCATAAGATTGTAATAACATGTGATTTCTTGGTTGTATTGTTCATAAAACAGCATTGCTGCCAAAAGCTTAGCATTACCACCTTAATTTATAAATGTATTAGTTGGATACATTTAAGCCATAGATCTAATTTAAAATTCTATGCAATATTATGAAGTGGAAGTGATATACAAATATTATATTTTTGCTAGAAAAATTGAAATCCATTAGCACTACTATACTATAGCACTTTCTCTGGGTCAGGCACAGTTTTAAGCACTTGATATATTAGCTCATTAAATCCTCACATAACCTTACAAGCTTATACTATTACTATTCTTATTTTATACTGAGGAAACTGAGGCAGAAAGAGATTAAGTAGGTCAACAAGGTCACATAGTGCAGGGATTTGACTCCAGGGAGCCTGTCTCTTGAGTCTATGTACACAATCACCTTGCAATACACCCTCTGGGCTATAAAAGCTTCCTTTTCACTTTTTTGCTCTATATAACTTATAAACGCCATTTCAGTAGGAGATGAGCTATCATTCTACCAGGATGTAAAACTGCTATTGTCAAATAATGATTCTGCTTCTCTCAGTAGCAAGGTCTTTAAGAGGGTGGTTCCCAGGTCAAGGCTCAGTTATCTCCTTATCACGCTGAAGACCCAGGTCAAGCCACGACCCGGACTCAGGCTTATAGGACCACAGTTTCTGTGATCTCACACAAATCATTCTATATTTTCAGTGATATGATTGGTATTTCTTTGAATTGTGCTTATTTAATCAGATTTGACATATTTTCCTCAATAAAACCCATTAGAATTTGAATAGAACCATAATCTTTAAGGTTATGTCAAACCTATATGTTCACCACCTTCATCTTACAATAAATACAGATAGGTTATGTATTTATTGAAAAAACTCTTAATAGAAATAAAATCGGACACAAGATATAAGTAACAGTATTATTTAGACTGCTGAGGGAGTTTGGGGCATATAAAAATCTTTCCTTCTGAGTTACATAAAAAGTTGTGTTTTATTTTAAAATTTTTATCATTTATAATTTTGAACTGTAAAATGACAGGAAAATGAGGCATATCAGTGTCTGAGCACATATAATTGGGATGCACATGTGACATGCCAGTTATATTAGGGCAGGTGCTAATAGGATTTTTGAAGTCTGTTTTGGATTTTCCCCTCCCCTATTTTATTTGTGAATTGGTGCTATTAAGTTTGCATAGCACAAACAACTAGTCTCAAGCATTAAGGATCTCTAAGGAATTCTTTTTTTTATTTCAACCAATTTAAACTGGCATTTATAGAATATTCCACAGAGTAAAGAAAACACATGTTCAAATATACACATAACAAATGCACAAATGCCCAAATAGGCTACATTCTGAACTATAAAATAAGATATATTTTTTTAAATACTTTATTTTTTAGTTATAGTTTGACGCAATACCTTTATTTTATTTATTCATTTCTATGTGGTGCTGAGGATAGAACCCAGGGCCTTGCACATGCTAGGTGAGCTCTCCACCACTAAGCCATAACCCCAGCCCCTCTAAGGAATTCTTTAAAGAATCATCTGTCAGTATTTTAAAGAAAAACTATTTACTTATTCTTAGTTCCTGAAAAAATGTATTCCCTTTACCCACAACAAAATAATCAATATCAAAGTGTAAGATGGTGAATGAAACTATATAAGAAAAAAATCTGGTTTTTAAAACAAATTACAATAAAATCTCTTTGATTTTCATTCTCCCTTTCAAGTTGTTTTATGTTGGCTTCCCCCCCACCTCCCCTCTCTAAAGACTTGCTAACTAGAAAAGCAGAATATACTTAGGCTAGAAAATCAGATATGTTTAACAAAAGAGGAAAAAGTCACCAGGCATCCTATCTGGAGGTGACCACTTTTAATTTCCCCCATAATAGGAATTTAAATTATTCAGTAATTGAGAACCCAAATTAACAATGCTGTCTCACTCAGTACTCTTGAAGTCAGAAAAATTCTTGTTCTTCTTGTCTTTATTTTCAGAAAGGCCAGGAAATCCTCTGCACAACATCCCCCCAGCCCCTCCCCACCTCCATCCCTGATTCTGTGAACAGCTTTCCTTTGAGCAAAACCTTCATTTTGGAGCAGAGATTTTCCTCTGGGTCTCTGCCAGGGACCACCTTACTGAAGGGCATCCCCAGGTTGCCTGTCTTGCTGCATGCCTCTCACTGACTACCACGCCTGTTCCATACCACAGGGTTGGGATGATGTCCCTATCTTTGCAGACTGAACTTAGCTCTTCCAGGTATGCTGGTGAATGACTTGGAGAGTTAACTTTTTGAATGGTCAGCTTTATTTTGACATGGGATAACCTATTTATAAAGGTGAACAATGACTATAGCATAATAAGATACATGTACATGTGGAATTTGTGGAATCTGTTTCAGTTTTTATCATCTGCTACAGAAGGTTAATTGTTTAATGACAATTAGATTTTATCACAGTGCATTTATGTCCTAATCAGGAACAATAGAAGTCTATTTAGAACAGTAAACTTTATAGATGTATTTCCTTTTTACCTGAGGTTAAATATTAAACATTATTACTCTTCCATATATTTATCAGCTCTCGAGTCTAGAGATATTTTCTTAGATTACATTTAACCCCATTAAGTTCTTCAATATTTATGTTAATAGCATGTATCAGTATCTACTTCAGGTAAGGTAAACAAGAGGACTTCAAAAACACAGAGTTTGATATGTTTTAAGCACTTTAACTCAAAACTAATTATTTGCTTCCCTTTAGCATAAGGAGTTCCAACTTACCTTGGAAAAACTCATTGTCCAGAACTGAAGCATCCCATGGAGGAGGCATTCCACTCCCCACCCTCATGATTGCTGGTGTGGGGACAGACGCGCTGTCAACTGGTTGATTTTCCAGAGGTGAACTATATATTTTTGCCTGCTAATTTTAAAGTAAAACAAAAAACAAACATGATATTATTTCTGAACCTTCTGCGGCCAAACTACTCATGTGTTCCTACAAAAATGTCATAAGCTTTAAAGTCCTACTCCCAGCACTGCCAGTCAATTTTCCTAACATTTATTTCTCAACTTACAATGTTTTTTTTTTGTTTCTGTCTTTTGCAACGGATCATAAATTTCTTCATATCTGTATCATTTATTTTAATTAACTACAGTATTAATGTTCAGGCAAGATATTGAGCTTTGCTTCTAAGACTTCCTGTAGGCTTACATAGAATTACACAAATGTTATAGAGTAAGGGTGGTTCCTGGAAATCAGGAAAGAAATTAATCTCTCTCAAGTCAGGAGTGTTGTCTCCAGGGTTCCAGTGGCTGCAATTTTGGATTTTCTAACACTGTGCATATATTATATCAAGAGCACATTAGTTAAAGCACGTAGTATACTTCAAGATGTGTGAACTTGATGAATTTAAGGAAAAACAGTATTTCTATCCAGAGGTCATCTAGAATGTAGAAACCCTACTCCCACCCCAGAACCATATGGAAATATTTACTGGTTCTAAAACAAAAGCACCTAGAAACATGATATTATTATTATTATTATTTATTAACTCTTGCTAGTTTTAAAGGATTTTTAGGATTTAATTAATACAGATATGAGTTAAAGTTGTTATCCTTTTTTCCCCTTAACTAGCAAATGTTTACCTTGATTTCATCAAATCTAATCACTGATTTGCTTTTAAGCTTTGTTTTCATAACCTTGGAGGAATTATCCACACCCACATTTTTACTGTATTGTGCCAAAACTCCATTTGCATTTGTTAAACTGGCTCCATTGCTTATGTCTCCACTTCAACTTACCCTGCACTGATCCCTGAACAAGGTTGGCAGCCCTCTTTTCTTTCTTTTCTCTTCATTTTCAGCTCAGTCTGCTACCTACTCTGTCTCTTGAATCCCTCTCCTTCCCAAGGGTCGCCTTTCCATTTTATGTTCACCATTACACTTCATCTCATCTTTACTGCCTAACACCAAATGTCTAAGCTTTCCAAAGTTTTTAATGTCTTCATCACAGATCTAAGGTCCTCGTAACCCCTACATTCCTCACATTCTAGTAAATTCACTCTTGCCTGGTGTTTTTTCACTCTTGCCTGGTGATATATTATTTTTTTTTCCCTTTAAGGTCTATGCCAACTGTTTCTTATAGATAGCTGCCCAAATTTTATTGACATGCAGTTTTCAGCTCCATGGACAAGCCACAACTGACTACTCACAAAGGAGATTTCTTTAGTAAGGAAGAAATTCTCTCATAACTTATTAGACATTGGATATAGTTTAACATACTAATATAAAATTAAGAAATAGATTTTAGAATCAAAACATAATTACAGTGAGATATTGATTGGAGATAATAAAACTTTAATCATTTGAGAAATCAGATCTAAGTTAATTTTTTTCACCCTAAAGTATATTGAGGTGATCTATTTTGTTCCCTGCAACAAGAAGTTTCTGCAACTCTTTATTTGTAACAATAACAATTAGTCATGGATCTTACAATTCATTCTTTCCAAATCTGCAGTTTAAGTAGTTGGTGGAGAATAGATAATATCTGATAACAGACTACCAAGCTTCATTGCCTCTCAAATGTTAAATGGCATTTGAATGAACTTCAGATTTCACCTCTGTAGACCACAGCACATTCCTTGTGGCCTCCTGGATCACGTCCTTCAATAGTGAAAATTTACAGTGAAATGGAATGTGCATGTGAGTGTTCAGGTGAAGAGACGAATCTTCCTAGGCTGGGAAGGATCACTCCCATTTACAGACCCTGACACACCTGCTTGATTATGTTTCTGTCTGGATCCTCTTCAAAACTAGCCCTACTCATCTGCATGTTCAGAATGCTTCTGACACATAGAAATGTAAATTAGGCTGTTAAGAGAAAATATCAAGGTTTTATTTACATTCCACTTTAAGTCTATAAGGGTTTTGTGGTGTGTGTGTGTGCGCGCGCGCGTGCGTGTATGAAAACTTAAAAAGAAAAAGTAACTGCTTGTCAATGGCTGGTATCTGACATAAAGAAGATTGAACTGCTTTATAGATCTGAACTTTAATTTGAGCAATGTATGAGATATTATTAATAGTGTTCTGAGCAGCAGCATATTATAGACAATATGTTAAGGGCTTTGTAGGGGTAACTTTATTTCATTATTTTAATAACCCTATGAAGTTGGTACTCCTATTGTCCCTCTTTCCAGAGGTCTCAAGAGTCTGGTCTGAGAAGATGCATTCCAGGGTGTCAGATTCCTGAGCCCTTGCTGACTCCTCCCTGCTCCTGGAAAAGTTCTGCAGTTCTGGGTTTATCAGCATTTAGTGGGAGGCATCTGTAGCCTAACACAGGTCTTAGCACAGCTGGGAAGCATCCTAGTTCTTTGGGACCCAGAGCAGAGACAATCCTTCCAGGTCCCTGAACAGACACTGATTGTCAGTGTCAGCCTTAGCCTCAACCTCAGACTCTTCTTCAAAATAAAGCTCAATGCTGTGGAGTTGTCATAAAAAAAGAAAGCCTATTTCCCATTCCTGTCCTGGAGGATGAAGTCTGACTACCTCTTTGCAGCAAAAATGTGTCTGAAACCTTTTCCAACTTTTTAAAAAATTTTTTATTTTTAGGTTGGGTTTTTTTTTTTTTATTTTTTTTTTTTTGTTTTTGTTTGGCCCCATTGCTTTTTTTTTTTTTTTTTTTTTTATGTGGTGCTGAGGATTGAATCCAGGGCCTCGCATGTGCTAGGTAAGTGCTCTTCCGCTGAGCCATAACCCCAGCCCAATGTATATTAAACCTTTTCCAACTTTTGATGTAAACCTTTCCTCCTCTTTCTCTCCAGATGTCCTGAGCTGCAAGCTTACTGCACGCAGTTCCCCCAAATGCCATGCTTTTCTAGATCTCTGTGCCTTTGCTCCTGATTTTTGTTCTTTCTGCACTTCTGGAAAATTGCAACTCATCTTTCAGAGTCCAGGTCCTACATCACCGTCTCTCTGAATCCCTCTCCAACTCTCCTTGGGCAGAATTAATCCCCACAGTGTTTTTTATGCACTTCTGATATTATGCCCATAATGCCATGTTCAAAGTTGTTGTCATTCTTTCCACTTTTACTTCACTAGTCTCTCTCCTTCCTACTACAAATTTCAGTCCCTTTTCTGATCTAGGAAACCAAAGATTCAAAGACAAGAAAGATAAGAAACAGGACCTTGGAAATGAATTAGAGTGACCAAGAAAACATATTTTCCTCCATATCCTGAGTACCAAGCATGGCACCTGCCACACAAGTGATGGATTAGTACCAAATCCAAGCTACTGTATTCACAATAATACTCGTCTTTTCTAGACTCCTCCAATGCATTTTTTAAAATTCATTTGCCACAAATGTTTCCCACATTTGAACAGAATTACTCATTTATTCAATTTTTAATACTGTGCTTTTTATGTCCTCTCTCTCTGGACTCTTAGAACAAGTTTGTGAATTAGGTAGGCATTATCATTCCCATTTTTCAGATGAGAAAACAATTTCAAGCAAGTGCTTTACTTATCATATAAATTATACATGGTAGTATTGGCTATTCTCATTCATCTGATCTGATCTCTAATCCTGTTCTTTGTACTATGTTGGTTCTTATTGTTATTTTACTAATGACATTGTCTTTGGTTAGTCATCTTTCTGAAAAGAGGAATCTTGTCTTAAACGTTCCCTGCCCTCCTCTGCATGAGACATACTTTGCATTGAGCTATGAAATAGTTAAATAAAAGCAGCAACCAGGAATTACCCTCTAACAAATAATTATTTCTATGTTGAATTAATAAATTAATTTATGATTTGCCAAAGTAGAAAACTATACATGTAGTTGTTGGTAAAGATTATAACAAAAATTAAGACATTAAACATTTATAATTTTTAACATTTATTAGCACTCAGGAAAGCATGCTGGAGGTAGGACAGCATAGTGGTTAAACATATCAGCTCCACATAGTTCAAATCCTGGCTCTGTCCATTAAAGCCATATGACTTTGGGCAAGTTACTTAACTTCTTTATACCTTAGTTTCTTTCTTGGTAAAATGAAAATAACAGCAACAATGAGAATCACAACAATTTCCTTAGACGGTTGCCAGGTGATTAAATCTACTAATAGTTGTTAAAATAGTTGGAATGGTATCTTGCACTTAGTAATTCCTTATTGTTGGCTATTACTATTCTTTTGGGGTTATAGAGAATTTATTGAAGGAGTCTTGCTGGTATTTGAAACTCAATAAGCTAGAAATATGTCCCCCAGGACTAGAGGCCTGGTCTCAAAATGCTGGCTTTCAGGATCTCTGTCACAGTACAGAAAAAGTCTGAGTAATATGAGGCCTTTTACACAGCTGCACTCTACTGATATTGTCTGCAATTCTGACATGATTATTTAGTCAAACAAACTTTCAGTCAGAGAGTAACCTTAGAATATTTGAGATCATCCTAGGGCAGCCAAACCTGCAGAGCAGCTGTTGGAGCTGAAATCTAAGCTCGCTGATTTTATCAAATGCCTCAGTAAAGTCAACAAATTAGCTTTTCAAGGGATTCCTGAATTTATTGTGTCTGTTTTCCCACCTAGGTCATATCCACCAATGTACCTTGTGACTTTGACCCATTTATTCATTTCCTCTTCCAGTTACTGAGTGCTCAGGTTGTGCCAGGCAGGGGGGATGCACAGGTGGGCGTGATGCAGTCCTTGGGTGTGGGAGCTCACACAGCCCAGTGTGATAAGTGCCACACTGGAGGTGGGTTCCCAGGGGCACAAAGCTAGCAGTATCACGTAAGAGTGAACACAGCCAGAATTGTTCAGAAATGAAGAGTGGCCCAGGCCATATGTTTTGACTCTATTCTTGAAGATGGATTTTAACTTTGGACTCCTGTAAGGAGATAGTTCTCACCTGGAGACCACTTGTTCCACTGGGAAAATTTGGTAAAATCTGGAGACACCTTTGATTGTCACATTTGGGTGGAGGAGAGCTTCTGGCATTCAGTAGGTGGAGGCCAGGGATGCTGCTGAACATGTCATGATACACAAGACGGCCCTTCAGCAGAGAATTATTCAGCTTTATATGCCCACAGTGTTGAGTTTGAGAGAAACTCTGGGCTTCATTTCTGAGTTTCTATCTAGCTCTAAAAATTCTGTTTCTGAGAATTTTTGCTTCTTTCAAGCTTGTGCAAATGTTTCAATAGTAACTTCTTTTTCCTTCTTTTTGGGAGGTCATCCAATAATGTATTACAGCCACCCATAAAATACTGAAATCCCTTTGTACCATTCCTACCCAGCTGCCAACTAAGTGGTAGGAAGTTTCTCATCTCAAATCTTGGCCAGAATCCCCATGGCATCAGTGGCCAACTTCTAGTTCTCTGCAGGCTGAGGGGACAGGACTTTTATGAATAAATAAGGGAAATCTACAAGTCATACAGAACATATAGTACTTGTATTATTTTCTCTCTCCTACTCTTTATAATAACTGTTAACTGCAAGCCACAACTACTGACCTGACTCACTAATTTCCCAGCTCTTCCTATTTATTTATTTACTTTTTTTTTTTTTATTCTGGGGATCGAGCCCAAGCGTGCTCTACCTCTGAGCTACATCCCAGCCATTTTTATTTTTGAGATAGGGTCTTACTAAGTTATGAGGGTCTCATTTAGTTGTCAAGGCTGTCCTTGAACTTGTGATCCTCCTCAGTCTCCCAAGTCACTGGATCATAGGCATGTATTGCCATGCTGGGCTCCAGCTCTTCCCTTTTAGACTGACATACTCTGAGCTAAGAAATAGTTAAATAAAAGCAGCAACCAGGAGTTACCCTCTATGAGAGAATTATTTCTATGTTGATATTTATTGATCCTCAGACTGGATTTTTAAATTTTAAGAATGCCAAATTAGTTTTATCAATCCGTAAGTTCTAGGCATTTATGTTTTTTTTTTTTTAATATATAGATTCTCCATCTGCTTCAGATCTCATGGCTCTCCAATGGTAGAGGATAGTCATTTGAGCCCTCCTTTCAGGAAAATTAAGAGTGCAGAAGCATTCTGAACCAGGGCTATCTCTTCTTAAAAAGCAAAACTGAATGCAGACAACAAGCTATTTGAGTCCACTGCTCAGTTATAGAAGTTTCTGCAGGTAGCTACTAACTGAGGTCAATATGCAGACAGGGCTTTGAGACTGACTCCTATAGGCATCACTGACTCCTGACCGTGAAGTTATATAGAGACCTGGGCTCTATAAAAAGGTATCTTTTGCCAGTGTGACCTTCAGCAGGATCTTTAATTTCTCTAAGTCTTGGTTTCTTCATATTTCAAATGGGGCCAACAATAGTATATACTTCAAATATTTTTCTCAATTAAATTAAATGAGCAGGGCTGGGGTTGTGGCAGAGCGCTTGCCTAGAACATGTGAAGCACTGGGTTTGATCATCAGCACCACATAAAAATCAAATAAATAAAATAAAGGTAATGTGTCCATCTACAACTAAAAAATATAAAAAGATTAAATGAGCAGTGTTAAGTACCTCTATAATAATAATACATTCTCTGCTGGAGTCATGACTGGGACTCAATCATATGGAGGAGTCAATATAGGGTATTACTCTTATCCAGAAAGAAGCAGCATTACTTTGAAGAGGAAAGATTTGCTTTTGTTTTTAGTGTCAAGAATCTCTTTGTAGGCATACTACTCATCAGAATTCTATTCATGCTTCTCGTAAAAGTTGGGGGAGTCCTAGTTCTAAGGCCATGATAAGTTGAAAAATGCCTCTGCCCTTCTCCTGATGTAGATCCTTTCCAAAAGTCTGCCCTTCTTTCATTTCCAGACCACATAAGTTACACAGAGAGACACAGGCAGAAGAACACATACATAGAATTTTGGTATACATTTTTTTTTTGTCTTTAGAAAAAGCAGAAACAGAAAACTTAGAGCTTCAGTCTCATAAGCATGTGATCATAGCGGTACATTTAAATTTAAGCCTTTGGTGTAGAGAGGGTCATACTGGTCCCATCTCTTCATGTGAACCTGCTGCAGCCAAGGGCACCTCACATCTCTTTGCATGTACATGATGATCACACTCAGAAAGTCCAGACCACACCAGTTTACAAAGCTGCCTGTAGCTGCCTCTTGCCCCTTCCCCTGTCCAGCTCATTAGGGCTGTGCAGGAGTGACACATGGTAAAATATCAGAGATCTGCCAATGGTGGGATAGAAACACCATGGCCCACTTCTTCCAGGCAGAGCCTTATATTTGAGCCTTCCAGTTCCAGAGCCAACTGAAACCAACCACAATTGGGGAATTTGAACTCTGGAGGAGAAATCTAAGCTTCTGAAGTAAAGTTGAACCTGAGCCAAGGAAAATCAAACTTAAGTAGGCTTCCAACCTGGGATTACTGAGTTTCTTAGTGTAACCTATACTTCTCCTGTCACTTACCAAAGTCGTTCCCCTTGCAGGCTCAGGAGGTCCTACATGGCCACCACACCTGTGGAAGGAATTTAAAATAATTTCTTAGAATAGCCACCAAGAGGAGATTAACAACATATTTAACCATTATGTGTTGAAATCTCAAGTTTTAAAAAAATCTTTTAGTTGTAATTGGACACAATACCTTTATTTTATTTATTTTTATGTACAGGTAAGGATCGAACCCAGGGCCTCGCATGTGCTTAGGCGAGCACTCTGCCGCTGAGCCACAACCCCAGCCCTCAAGCTGTTTTTTTGTGCTCTGTAGACAGACATTTCTTGGTTAATGTGTTATTGAAAAAAATTTCAGAAATCTTTTCCTGTGATTGCTTAGTCAATGTTTTACAACGTTGCCACTTAGGTGATCAAGAAAACAGCATAAAAACATAATAACAAAACAGTTGCATCTGTTGAGTGTTTAGTTACACCTGTTGAATGTTTGCTGTGTGACAGACTCTGTTCTCATGCTCCTTTCACATAGTAACTTCTTCATATACTTCACTTCCATGAGGTGGATATTATGGCTGTTCCCATTTGACAGATGAGAAGATGGAAACACAGAAAGTTAGACAACACTGCTCAAGGAATACTGTCAGTGGTTGGGCTAGGAGTTAGGCTCAGGTTGTCTGAATCCAGAGCCCTCTTTAACAGTGTGGCACATTGACTCTTCCTGCAAACACTTTGTTTCTGTGCATTTTTCTTCCAAAAAGAAATTAAGTCAGGACCAGACTTAATCCATAAGAGAACTGTTGAAAAAGCAAACTCTAAACTGGGTGTGGTGGCCACACCTGTGATCCCAGCTGCTTGAGAGGCTGAGGCAGAAGGATTGCAAATTTGAGGCAGCCTGTGCAACTTAGCAAAACCATGTTTCAAAACAAAAAATAAAAAGGGCTGGGGTTGTGCCAGGTGCGGTGGTGCACGCCTGTGATCCCAGTGGCTTGGGAGGTGGAGGCAGGAGGATCATGAGTTCAAAGCCAGCCTCAGCAATTTAGTGAGGTGCTAAGCAACTCAATGAGATCCTGTCTCTAATAAAATACAAAATAGGGCTGGGGATGTGGCTCAGTGGTTGAGTGCCCCTGAGTTCATTCCCTGGTACAAAAAAAAAAAAAAAAAAAAAAAAAGGCTGGGGTTGCTGGGGTTGTAACTAAATGGTAAAGTGCCCCTGGGTTGTTCAGTCCCCAGTGTCTGTCTGTCTTTATGTCTTCATGTCTCTCTCTCTCTCTCTCTCTCTGTCACACACACTCACACACACGCACACACACACGCACACACACACACACATACACACACACTATAAATATTGCTTTAGGATTATTTATTTTTAAAGATGCCTGACATTATACAATCATTTTGGAGGAAAAAATATGCTTTTACTATTTGTGTTGTTCCTTTCGAATTTAGTGAGAAGGTAAAAAATTTACAAGATCTTTTACATTTATAATCTTATTCCAAAGTACAGTCAGCCTGAATTCTTATTCAATATTTAATAGACTGTTCTGACTTAGAGCTCCTTATGAAATCAGGCCATCTCTTCCACACACACACACACAAAGAAAAAAAACCCAACAAGAAGAATACTAAGTTAAACAAACGGGGACTCTTAAGTTGGAATAGTCCAAAGTGGCCAGGCACAGCTGTCTTTCATTTGGACTCCTTGCTGCTTTGTGGTTCATGAAAGTTGAGCAAGAAACCTGGGAGGCCAAATCATTTGATATCTTAAAAATATCCACATGTCATGTATTTTTTAGTTTAACTCAATATTTAAACAGAAATTGAAATCAATATTATGGGTATTTTTCATATTACTCTGAATTTTTCTCTCTACTAGTAATATCTGGAGGTTAAATCCAGGTTGAGTATTCCTTTTCCAAAATGTTTGGGACCTGAAGTGTTTTGGATTTCAGGGTTTGGGTTGTGTGTGTACACGTGCGTATGTGTCCTATATTTAAATCTAACTAATGAGATATGTTGGGACACAAATCTAAACATGAAATTTATTTATGTTTCGTGTACTACATACACATACACACACACACACACACACACACACACACACACACACAGCCAGAAGGTAATTTTACACAGTATTTCTGATGCATCTGAAGTTTGACTGCAACCCATTATGTGAAGTAAGGTGTGCAATTTTCTACTTGTGGTGTCATGTCAGTACTCCAAAAGTTTTATATTTTGGAACACTTTGGATTTTGAATTTTTGAATTAGGGATGGTTTCATTTTTATCTTTCCTTTCTGTAAATATCGAGGCCGCATTCCTCTTACATGCTATATACTATTTTGAGCTCTTTAGTAAAAACAAATATGACTGAGATAGGGACCTGTTCTCTGAGAGTTTTCAACAACAGCACAGACTAAAAAGTCAAAATACCAAAAGGCAAGGCTTGATAAGGACAATAAAGAGATATAAATAAAATACACTGAAAATACAGAGGGGCCCATAAGCATTTCCTAGGGATAAACAGGGAAAGTGATTGGGAGAAGCTGGGGGGAACAGGCACAGAGGCGAAAGACTGCAAGAGCAAAGGCTTGGAGGAGATAGTGCTGCAAGGGAGGTTGGGGACCAGCAAGTAACTCGGTTTGCCTAGAACCAACAGTACCTGCTGATGGTGCTTCCCAGATACCTGCCAGGCTGCAGACCTCAGAGTGCATCTCCACAGCCCAACTCTTACCAGCTCTCCAGGGCCCTTATCTGACTTGGAACAAGGGCAGCAGGGGCAGGTTGCTGAGAATGGCAGATGAATGGAAGAAGCAGTTAACAGACCAGAGGATGTCTGGCTCATAATTAGACAGAGTATCACCAAATGCAAGTGTGTGCAGCCAGTGTAAAGATGCTCCCTCACCTGAGAGTGTGCCAATATGGACTTTGGTAGGAGGGGGTAGGACTCTGCTGACATGGGGCTCCAGAGTCTCTGCACCCACTCCAGACCCTCCAAAAGCAAACTCATGTTTCTGATAAGAAAAAACTTCCACTTGTAGAGTGAATAGAAGCAATAGCAATGCCATATAGTCTATGTTGGCATGAGCCTGCCAGACTTTGCCATGTCAAAGGATACAAAAATACCTCATCTCCTGTGTTGTATTGATGCCACGTCTTAGAGACTCCTTACAAATACCCCCACTTCTCCATGCCCAATCATTCTGTATGATAGCTACCTTTCACATTTTCTCTTCTGGACTTTCCATAATCCTTCACACCACCATTGGAAAGATCTATCTAAAATGCAAATTAGATCTTTTCAATCCCCTGCCTAAAATTCTAAATTTTAAAAGGCCTTACACAAGACCTTTCTTTTATCTGCTGAACCCTCCAGACAACCCTTCATCTGTAGAACTTCATCTCCCCACATTCCACTTATCATAGGTATCTGAATCCCAGGCTTGTCAAATTAATTCCACCTCTATAATTCTCTCTTCTTTTCATACCTTTGCAAATACCAAAACTTCTCATTCAATAAAGTAGAGTAGTATTTGCAAGGTGTGACGGCACATGCCGTAATGCCAGCTACTTGGGAGGCTGAGATAGAAGGAATGCAAGTTTGAGGCCAACCTTGGCAACTTAGTGAGACCCTGCCTCAAAATAAAAAATAAAAGGGGTTGAGGATATGGCTTGGTTGCAAAGCATCCCTGAGTTCAATCCCTAGTACTGAGAGGGAGAGAGAGAGAGGGAGAGAGAGAGAGAGAGAGAGGGGGGGGTGGGGTTCAACAATATTCTTTTCTAATCAGAGCCATGGGTGATTTTCCTTCAAGTGTTGTGGAGCACACTTTAACCACTGAGAAGCTCCACTGGGATGGCCACAGGCACTCCACATTCTCCTTCTAGCTCTCCTTCCCATCTAATTAATCAACAAATCCTGTGGATCCACACTCATAAATCATCCTCTTTTCAGCATCTCCCTGCTCTTACTGAAGTTAAGACTTTGGTCATCTCTTGCCTTTATTATTTCAACAACCCCTTAGCTCTTTCTGTCTCCAGGTTTGTACCAATCAAATGTATTCTGTATACTTTAGCCAGAGCGATCAGTACATATTAACTCATGCCAGTCCCTGCAGTCTTTCCATTTGCTCTCATGAAAGTTGAGGCCCCAAGCAACTTAGTGAGATCCTGCCCCCTCCCACAAGAGGGGGCGCTGGGGATGTGGCTCAGTGGTTAAGTGCCCCTGAGTTCGATCTCAGTACCAAAATAATAATAATAATAATAATAATAATAATAATCCCAGTACCAAAATAATAATAATTATTAGTATTAGTATAATACTAATAATTATTATTAAAGCAATCAATGGAAAAAATACACATACATTCACTCATGCATGTGGAGTGTGTGCAGGGGAGAGAAAAAGGAATATATCAAAATGTTAGTATTAGTCCAGATCAGTGGATGCGGATGATTTTATCTTTACACATATATAATAAGGACAAAATAGTATTATTTTAAAAGGGATTAATGACTGCCCATTGACACAGGATCAAGTCTAAGCTTCTTAGTATTGCACATATAAGGTCCCTGTGTTCTGGCCTCTGCCAGCCTCTTCCTCTCATCTCTCACCTCTCACTGAATCTCAGCGACCTGGTTGAATTCCTGTTTTCGCTACTTTCTGCATCTTGGATGGTGTTATTTCTTTTGCTTCGTATATATAGCCTGTGGATCTTAGTTGCCTAGCAAACATTGACTCGACTCCCCTCTTCCAGAAAGCCTTCTGGGTCCTTGAGTCTGAGTTAAGCACTTCTCCTATAATGTTTCCTGGCAAGAATATCATATATCATCACAGCACTCACCACATTACACCACAGTCATCAGAGGACTTGGGTGTTGCTCAGGCTATAGCTAGGCCACCTGGTGTTCCTGTGTGAATTCTAAAAGGCATTCCTTCCTTAGGACCCCTTAGTGTCATTTGCTGGAAATTGCCACAATAAATATGCAAATCCTTGATGATCATGATGTACTTCTTAAGAGTTCTGTGGTGTACCCCCTGCCTAACCACACACAGCAATCAGATAGATGTTCCTTACTAGATTCTAAAGTCTATAGGCATGGAGTTTGGGTTTTTTCACTATTTCATCTTCAGTATTAAACATAGTGTCTGATCTTGGGTAGGACTTTGACAAAAGCTTGATAAATATATATGAAAGGGAAACTGTGGCCTTGTTATACCCATGCCAGGAACTTCGTCAGCCCTTACCACAGTGGGAATAACCAAACTGCGGTGGTTCCCAGCCCTGAATGAGAATCATATATCCTGGAGAATTAAAAACTAAAAAATAAATCTCCTTGTGCCCCACTTCAGACCTCTGATTTAGAATCTCAAGATAGGAGCCTGATTATCTGTCTTATTTTATTTATTTATTTTTATTTAAAAATTGGGGGAGGGAATTGAACCCAAGGGCATCCTAACACTGTGCTACATCCCCAGTACTTTGTTTTGTTTGCAATGCTGGAGATTGAACCCAGGATATCAAACATACTAGTTAAGTGCTCTACCACTGAGCTATATCCCTTTCCGCAGTCACTTTTATTTTGTATTTGTGAGATGGGGTCTCATTAAGTTGCTGAAGGTCTTGTTAAGTTGCCCAGGCTGGTCTTGTACTTGCAATCCTTCTCCCTCAGCCTCCTGAGTAGCTGGAATTACAGGTGTGCACCACTGTGCCTGTCTGTCATTAGTTTTAAATTGTTGATGAGATTATAATAATGACCAACCAGATCAACTGGGAACCATTGGCCACCCAGAATGAAACTTCAAACCACTCCTCTTGTCTGGCCTCTCCCTTCTGTCACCACAAGCCTACTGTTCATCTGTGGACACCACGCCTGGAATCTACAAGGAACCAGAAGGAACATTGCCAAGGTAGAATCTTGCTTACTCTGATGTCTCCTTCAGTTTAAGTGTCTTGGATTCCTGTATCTTCCCACTTGAACACGGGCACTCAAGTAGGAAAGAGGAAGCAGGTGGGGAGAGAGAGGGAGAGAGAGAAATATCCAGGGAGGAAAAAATCTGCTTTTTAACTTTCCCAAACAGTATTTGATCTTTTTGCTTTACATAAGGAAGGTTGCAGCTGAACAGTCTGAGCTGTGTACGCCCTATGCATCAGACAAATTTGGACAAGTCTGAAGTAGCAGCTAGGAGGATCCACCAAAGCTCTTTGCATATGAAGGGAAGAAAATCATCTGAAAAAAAGGAGCAGGGCAGTGGGCACGCACACTCTTGTTCCAAGATCACAGTTATCACTCCAATCACAACTCTGTAGTGAGCAGTCACCATATGCTAAGTTCTATGATCATTCTCAAAGAAATGAGGGCTCTTTGTGAACCTTATGTAGTAGTTTGCTTGTACTTCCACCTCTTCCTAGAAGTTGGGACTGCCACAAGGGAAAGAGTAAGGAGAAAAACATGCACATTCCTAAAATCACCATAGCCAACTGGTAGTAGGTAGTTGTGCAGCTTGAGGGTAAACAGCTCCCTTAAGTTAGTGGAACCTGACTTCCTGGTGGAGCATGGAACAGAGTGGCAAAGTACCCTACCTAGTAGGTAGGGCATCACTGGAATGGTTTGTGAGGAGGACTGCATTTACAAGCTCACACCATACACTACTGATACTTGCTGAACTATGTGGAGGGACTCTGTGAGGACAGAGTTACTAAAATTCTGTGTGGCAGGCAAGCGGGGGAAGAGAGGAAGGGGGGGAAGGAGAGGGAAGGGGAGAAAGAAGGGGAAGGGAGGAAAGGGGGTTGCTGAGCACCATATGTCACAAACACCAGATACCCTGTAACAAGATAAAATCTAAGGGAAAATGTAAGGGAAAGCTACAAGCAAGATATGTAGGTTCTTCAATTTGTTAGCTAGCAATAAATAAAATATAAACAGAAAATATTTTTATTTTTTCCTGGATTTGATTCAGGTCAATCATTTACTTATAGTATTAAAATTATGATGAGAAAACTGAGGAGTACCATTTGGGAAGAGGAAGAAATCATTTTTTAAACAGCAATGGTTAATCTTTTTTTTTCTTTTTTATAAACTCACAAAGTCACTGTGTTCCCATGGCCTTTTAAATCCATTGATAATAAGAAACCAAAGTTTAAGATGCCATATACAGTAGGCCCCTCTTATCCTGTGGGAGGGGATATGTTCCAAGACCCCTGTGGATGCCTGAAACCATGTATAGGATAAAAACCTGAGAATATTATTTTTTCCTCATATTTACATATGATAAAGTTTAATTTAAAAATTAGGCATAGTAAGAAAGTAACAACAACCAATAATAAAATAGAACAATTATAACAATATATTGTTATAATTGTTCTATTGTTATAATTGTTCTCTTTCAAGGTATTTTATTGTATTCTACTGTATTTTTCGGCCATGGTGATTGTGGGTAGCTAAAATGATGGATTTGGGTGGAGGGGGGGGCTGGGCCAGATATTGTAATTCTATTGGCTGGCCCTTAAAGTAAACAAGTATAACTGTTAAGGTGAAGAAGCCCACTTTTTTTCTGAAGAAGGTTACCTACTATCCAGTGTTATCTTTTCAGTTAAAACCAAAGCTTTGAAGAGAACAAGAAATGTCTCTGATAATCAAGTATTGAGTTGTACAAAAGGCTGCCTTTTTCATGTAAGGGTTGGTTCTTTTTCTCTGATTGGCAAAAGATCCTCTAACCTACTTTGCTGACTTGTTCTCCAGAGCACCAAATGCGACAATGCAAGCCATCGATGGCTTCAGCAAGTAGAAACCTGACAGCTGCTTCACACAAAATGACTGGGCTTCCTGGGCTCTCTGTCAAGTCCTTCCAATGTGCTTGCAGCAAGGAGGATTCGGGAGTCTGTTTTCTGAAGGTTGATTTTGTATTTTGGAAGATCAAAACTTTCAAAGAAAGTTAAACTCTACCTGGGATTTAAAAAGCCCTCAAGATGTATGATACACAACTTATATAAACTGCCACACTTAAAAATACCCGCCCGCACCCTTACATTTAGGATTAGTATCCAAATATTTAGGTCATATTCATATTCAAATTCAAAAATAAAAAGGACATGATTTTGCATTTTATCTTCTAAAACCGCTTCAGAGCAACCACCAGTGTCTTCATTATGTATTTTACACTAGCAGAAATTAAAAAATATGTATCATATTAATGATCATTAAGATAAATGTTAAATTCATCCACTTACATTTTGAAAGTAAATTTTATTTAAAGATAAAAGATTCTGAAAACTGATGAACATACATATATACTTAAAAATTTTGTTTCATTTATGCATATTATATTTTGGTTTGTTTAAAAGAGCTATAAGTTATTTTGGTATCTAAGACAGACATTTGCTAAACAGAATCTTGCAAGTTTTAACTTTTTTTTTTTCAATTTGATCTGTAGCCAAAGCACATGACAGACACCACGAGTGAAGATTACAGACCTTTTATCTTCTTTGATTCACTTTTACAGTATCTTGAAATATGAACTTGGAAATAACTTGTCCAGAGAGTTAACAGGTTTCTCAACTTTTCTGACTTTATTAATATTAGACTGTTCAGCCATATAAAATTTGCTTTAGAGAAAATCACTGAAAATATAAATTCTATCACAAATCCTAGCTACCACACACTGGGAGTATTTCTTTTCTCTTTAAAACAAATATTTCCTTCGCAGGAAATGCTCCTTGGTTTTAAATTCCCCACCTGAGAAAGAATTACTAGTGTCTCAAGTATTTTAAAAAAGAAAGTAACTCACCTACTTGAAGTCTTTTTCCTCTCAAGTGATTCTGGTAGGGACAGTCACATAAATCTACATTTTGCTCAGCTCTTCCTTATTTCATCAGACAAAAAGAGCCTCAGGTGAGAGCTGAAAGTAAAAATCCTGCTATCCACCCAAGAGGGGAGGCCAGTGCTCTGCCAAGCCTGGGAGTCTCATCACACGCCCCACCAGCTGCTTGCTGCCTCTTGTTTTTCAGCAACAGTGACCTCCAACACCTTTTATTTAGCTGTGTAACGCAATCTGAATGGTTTGACGGCACAGGGAACACATCACGTGCCAAGCCAACACCTTAAGAGGGTGGGAAGCTTTGCAACCAGGAAGACATGCCGAAATATTTAGCAGTCAGCTCAAATACACATCAGCATAGCCTTGCTTGTTTTTCATGAAACAATCCAACAAAGTAATGAGTCAAGATAAACTGATTTCTGCAGTTCTAAACCAGGAACCAACTGGAACTATGCTACCACCTCTCCAAAAGCTTCCTCTCCCTCACTTTATATTTAAATCCTGGGTAACCACATGGGGATGGCTTGCTGTCAATATTTTTGATAACCATCATGCTTGCTTTCTCTTCTCTGTTTTGGAAATTCTGTTTTCCTGTATTCTTTTGCTTCTCTCATATTTACTCTTTTCTAGTCTTTATGTGCCAACTCCCCTTATGAGACATAAGGGACATACATTCTCCTAAAAGGAGCAGTTTTGATTTAAATATCTTCCCAGATAAAGCATAAGAACATACTATTGGAGCAGTGGAACAACTGCCAATAACTATTTCCCAACATTTAACCCATCATTCACCAAGTGCACCACCAAGCATGGTTGCAGTTAAGTAGAAGTTGAATTTCAGGTGAGTCAAGTCTCATGGTTTCCTAAGAACTTTGTCACTGTTTGAGCTAAGACCTGTTTCTTTTGTTACTGTATGAATTGAAATTCCAAGAACAAACATTAAACTAAATGGGCAACTGGCCTCTGACATCAAATAACTAAGGAGCTGTCACATGATCTGAGTTTAACTCACCCTTTCTGTCCCAGAGATTGAAGCTTTAAAGTCTCCTTCCCAGGTTTTCTGAATGAGAACAAGGAAGCAAATGACGATCTGAAGCTCAGTCGGGAAGGCGCAGATGTGGGTTTTTTTTGATTAGTTAGAATTTTAGATCTTGATGTTTGTAACTCTGTAGGATCTAAAAAGAATCATAAGAATTTCTGCATTGTTAAAATCTTTCCAGAAAAATGCACATGAAAGAATGAACCTTTCACTCTTGTTTCCCTCTCTCCCTCTATGCAGTCTAGAAACAGGTCAGGATTCCTCGCAGGAAGACCTTGGGAATGAAGGGGAACCAGAACAGCTTCTCAGAGTCCTGTGCCCCTGCTGGTTCTGCCCAATAGGGAATATCCTCACAAGCTGCAGGGTAACTTTCAGTATGTACATGGGTCACAATTCTGTAGGTGATCTCTTGCCTTAAGCCAGCTGTTTCTCATCATGTCTTCTCCATGGATATCCAACATTCACGTTGTTGTGTCTTTTAGAAATTTTCATTTTTAGTATTTTTAAATCATAACTTTTTAATCTATTTTTTAGATGTACACAACCATATTCATTCATTCATTCATTCATTCATTCATTCATTCATTCATTCATTTATTTATTTATTTATTTATATGTGGTGCTGAGGATCTAACCCAGTGCCTCACACGTGCTAGGTAAGCACTCTACAACTGAGCCACAATCCCAGCCCTCATAACTTTTTATACCAAAGAAAGTAAAGGAAAAGGAAATTAAACCATTTAGTGTCTGTTACCAAAAGTCTCTCAGCATACATGTATTTGCAACATAAACTGTTTATGTAAGTGTGTGCATGTATAGGTGATAGTTTTACATATAATTATTAAAATTTGAAGACAATAATACCATAATACCATACAGACCATAACACCATAATACTTTAAGGCATGCTGACTTTATAATTATTATAGGAATTTAAGGGAACAGCAAAGTCACCACAGTATATATGGGATTAATCTGAAAATTGGAACTTCGAGTCTTTTTAGGTACAGTGGTTTATTAAGAGAGTTACAAGATATTGTCAGTATATAAATTTAGAAATATTGTTTCATGTTTCATTGTGTTACTAATGTTGATAACATATGCAATAATTGTCAAAAGTAAAGTAAAAAAGTCACTTTATTCTGTTTTCATAGTTTATAATTTCTAGAGCACTTTGTTATTCTCACAATAGTCCTGAGAGAGCAAGTCTTACTATCCTCATGTATAGATTAAAAATTAATCGACTGGTAAAGTTAAATGACATGCTGGGAATCACATGGTTAGAATGTCCTTAGAATACACTTATTGAAGTCATGTATGAAGCTGACCACAGTTTCAGAGGGATGGCAGCTCCTCTGCTGCCTCCTCCCCACTTTCCTCTCCATTCTCCTTCTCCCTTCCTTTCCTGAAACCCTCCCCTGTTTCTTCCTTCTCCATCATAACCCCATCTATTTAAGTGCTTGCTGTGTTCCAGACTGATTATTTGTAGACATAACTGTATTTAATTCTCATAACCACCCTATGAGGTAGGCAATAAACCCATTTAAAGAAGAGAAAATTGAGGTTTATAGAGAACAAATACTTGAACAGACTCACATGAATAGGTTGGAAGTTTGAATCCAGGTCTTTTTTGACATCCATGTTTGTGTTTCCAAATACTATGTTATCAAGACAGTATTACAGTAAAATTTCAGTTCACTCTTTTTAGTGTATGTTATATGATGAAACTTTTGTACTTTATAATAGTTCTAAGCTATAGATTAGTTTAATGGGGGATCCACTGATCCATTTTCTATAATACTGTAACACAAGGAAAAGAAGAGATGATTTAAATCTATGTTTACTCACCATTTTTTGCCATCCTTAGCCTGTGTGTGAGTGGTTGTTTTATCATTTGGCTAACATCTGTTTCAGTGCAAAACTTTTTTCTTTGAATTTCTTCAAACCATTCTCCAGTCACTCCTTGAAGCCATCTGATATCCCTCTTTGTCTTCTGAAGCTTGCTGAAATAAAGCAGAAAACAGAATGTGATGGACATCAATGCATTCTTCAAATTCATTCTTATCTAATGCAAACTCACATGATGAGCTATGTTCTGCCTAATGCAGGAGCAGTGTAAACTATGTGTTTAGGGAAAAAATGGCACTAGTCAGATATTCCTTTTGACCAAAGCATATATATATTAGATGTATTCTTCTGAATACCATGACAACCTAAAATTTTTGCCAGTAGTTGAGTTAATGACGACAAACTAGGTTGAGCAATATGCTAAAACCTGATCTAATAATGCAAATAAATGATAGATGTTCTAATAACATGTAGAAACTAGCATATCCTAGTTCTGATTACTCATTCACTCATTCATTAATCTGTTAAATGTTTATTGGGCAATGTTAATCAATTAAATGTTTATTGAAGCCCCATGTAGGCAATGGGGGTTCATAGTGAATATAACAGGTAGGTTGCTTACTCATCCATTCCATGGCCAAAGATAAAAGCTATTATGCAGAAAATAAATTGTTGAATAGAATGTTAACATATTGTGTGTCAATTAATTCAAAATATTTATTCTAACAATTAAATGTGTCTGTGTATAATAAAGATCATTAAAATTAAAAAAAAGATAATGGAATTCTTCAAACATGAAGACATGAAAACCCATGAATGAGCTCAGGGCTAATGCTAGAGTTGTAGGGAAAAGTGGAATTTGAGATAGACAGGAAAGTTTATTGAAAGCCTAAATATATCCTCTGCACCTTGAAAACACCAGGCCTGAAATCCTACCTACTTCTTTTGCTTTCCTGCTTTTCCTGTTTAGTCTTCTTTCAAATGAAAATGCTGCTTTACAGTATGGAGATTTCTTGGAAATCTGGGAATGGAACCACCATTTGACCCAGCTATCCCTCTCTTTGGACTATACCCAATGGACTTAAAAACAGCATACTACGGGGACACAACCACATCAATGTTTATAGCAGCACAATTCACAATAGCTAAACTGTGGAGTCAACCTAGATGCCCTTCAGTGGATGAATGGATAAAAAAATGTGGCATATATACACAATGGAATTTTACTCAGTAATAAAAGAGAATAAAATCATGGTATTTGCAAGTAAATGAATGAAGTTAGAAAAGATAATGCTAAGTGAAGTTAGCCAATCCCAAAAAAACACATGTGGAATGTTTTCTCTGATATAAGGAGGCTGACTCATAGTAGGGTAGGGAGGGGGAATATGGGAGGAATAGATGAATTCTAGATAGGGAAGAGGGGAGGGAGGAAGAGGGAGGAGACAGGGGATTAGCAAGGATGGTGGAATGTGATGGATATCATTATCCAAAGTACATGTATGAAGACTCAAATTGGGTGTCAACATACTTTATATACAAACAGATATGAAAAATTGTGGTACATATGTGTAATAAGACTTGTAATGCAAAAAAACCCCAAAGTACATGTATAAAAACATGAATTAGTGTGAACATACTTTATACACAAAGATATGAAAAATTGTGCTCTATATATGTAATAAAAATTGTAATTCTGCTGTGGTGTATTTAAAAAAATAAAATCAATTAAAAAAAAAAGAAAATGCTGCTTTAAGTCTTTACTTAAATCCCCAGTTGTGATTTTTTTTTTCAAAGTTGACCATTTTGCTCAATTTCAGAAGGACCCTAGAACTGTTTGGAGATCTAACAGGAAATCTCCCTAGAAAGGTGAGTTTGAAGAACACGGTGACAATATAGGGCTCAGTGTGTAACTTATAAAGTAGTTACTTTTGTATAATGCTAATGAAAGGTTAGGCTTCTTATTGGGTTCCAACCAGCTGTCATCTTTTATCCTGGGCCTGATGTAAAAAACCAATGTAAGGTCTTTGTATTGCTAAGAAGATGGTTAGCAAGATGTCTCCAGAATGGCCAATTTGGGGTTAAAGGCAATGAACTGAGATGGCTGTAACTCATGCTTCTGCTTGGGGCTATGATACTGCTGTTTTATAAAAATATTCAAGAAGGAAGCCAGAGGTCATCCTGCCCAGACTTGCATTTTGAAAAGCATTAGGCAGCAATCATTATGTTCAGCCCACAGAATTTGCACTAGTGCCTCCTCTTTTGCCATGGCCACTCTCTGATACCTGGTAGCTCCTGTCTATTGAGACTTCCCTTACTACCAGAATAGACTAAGAGACCCCCAGGTATCTGCTTCTAACCAATGCTGAATGATGGGGCATCAGAGCTGCCCTCAGAGTCCTGTGCCTCTGCTGGATCTACTGAGTAGAAGAAATCCACACAAAGCTGCAGGGCATCTTTCAATATGCATGAGGTCACAATTCTATAGGTGATCCCTTGCTTAGGTAGCAGTAGGGGACAGGAGACTAGTCAAGGGCCTGGTAGAGAGAGGTGTTTACTTGACCAGGGTGATGGTGGTGATGCTGAAGAAAAGCATAGACATTCAGAGCAACTTAAGGGGTAAAATTGACTCTCAGATGTCCACTGGAATTGAGTGATTTTGGGGGGCTAAGGGCTGAGACATGTCAAGGAAGACTTCTAGATTTTGATTTACATAAGTATATAAAATATGCCACTCATAGAGCTGCTAATAAGTTCAAGCTGTCTCTAACACCTTACTAATGTCCCACATTGGGACATGACCTCTACTTCCTGGAAACCCTCCCTAATTGTTGGTTCCCCAAAGTCTGCACCACCCTCTTCCACTTCTCCACATACCAATCTAATTTCAGAAGGAGGTCAAGCTACCTGACTTAGGAATGCCCAATATAAATATAACCTTTTATTTTTCCCCTTATAGGCTTGGTGTAACTTGGACTCTCTTTTAAAAATAATCACAGCTTACTGCCATCTCTAGCACCTTGCACACATACCCATAGCTGCCTGGTTTTTATCCATCTCATTGTCAATAGATTCAGACATCAATATTTTCTTGTGAATACTCATGCATTTTGAATTCCATTTCAGGAAATATATCTTAAAGCAATAGCTACTCCCAAGCACACAAATTTAATGAATATCCATGTAGTTGCTAACCATAATTATGCAGGCAATAGAGAATCCTAAGAAAATTCACATGAATTAACATGAAATGGCAAAAACAAAATACAGCATTTTGCCAATGAGCATGACTATGTAAAAATGATGCAATCATTTGGACACATTAGGGAACAAAGGAAAACGTCTGATCTTTTAGAGTAGAATAATTATAGGTATCATTTCTATGTTTAGCTTTTTTGTTATGTTGATTCTATAAGTATAACTCGTGGAGCTGTTTCTTTTTTTCAGCAGTACTGGGGATTAAACTCAGGGCCTCTCACATGCTAGGCAATTCCTCCACTATTGAGATATATCCCCAGAACAAGATGTTTCTTTTTTTGTTTGTGAATTTTTATTTTAACATTTTTGCATTACATATTTGTGGAAGATAGAGAAAAATGTCATATTTCTACAATCCTAATATATCCATTATTGCCTTTTTAATGTGTTTTATTCTCTGTGTTTTTCATATGGTTGTAATGGAACTTATTTCATATATATCTGCATAAAGCCTCAAACGATGCGCTTGCTGGCCTACAATAGTGAGCAAAACAGATTTGGCTCCACTCTAGGAAGCTGACAGTCTAATGGGAGAAATGAACATGAGTCCAGTAGAGATGTAATAATAGTGGTAAGTGTGACTTATTCATTCAACGTATGTTTGAACCCTGGGTAAAGAATGCTTGCCCTACAGAATTTAATTCTGCTGGGGTGGGAGGACTTATATTTGTGTGTGTTCAGGGTGGGAAGGGGACAATAAACAACAAAATGTAAATAGGTACTACTACAAGAGCATGCAACTAGGGGACCTGCCTGAGACCACAGTGAAGATTCCCTGGAAGGATAAAGGATGAGGTAAAGGGTAGTGGGCTGGGGGATCCTAGGTGAAGAAGTAGTAACTGGAGAACAATAGCCCTGTGGCTGGAGGGTGGCCAGGGAGAGGAAGCCTAACCAAAGGGGAGAGGAGAGAGACGGCCACTAGATCATGCAGTGCTAGGGGTCAGATTAAGTGCTTTGGTGTTTGATCCTGAAGCAATGAGAAAGCATTAGAGGTGTGACACATCGGATTTGCATTTTTAAAAGCTCATTCTAGCTACAGGTGGAAAGTAGACTCCAGTCGGGGAGAGGAGACCAGTCAGGGTTACTTGTAGGAAACAGAGGTATCTGCTTGGATCAGGGTGATAGTGGTGAAGCTGAAGTGAAGTAGAAAGTGTTCAGAGTGACATAGTGGGTAAAATTGATTCCAGGTGTCCATAGGATGACATGGTTTGGTGGGGGTGGGGGTTTAAGGGCAGAGACAAGTCAAGGAAGACTCCTAGATGTCAGATTTACCTAACTAAATGCCATTCATAGAGATCATGCCTATATAATCTTAAAAAATCCCTTAACACTTTGTCAAAAATACTTTCAACATTACTCATCTTCAGGGCAATTACTAAATATTTTCACAATATTCAAGTTAGTATGTTTTTCATAATTTATTTACTCTTCCCCTGGTGAAGATTTTCCCTTGTAAATATTGCAATAAAAGATGTCATTGTGCATTTTCTATTTTTATATCGTCTCTGAAAGAATAATTGAGTCAAGTAGTCAAAATATTTTTGTGTTTCTTTATATGAACTACCAAAACACTTATCAAAAGGGATATAAACAATATTACTCCTTCTAGTAATGTACAAGAACTACCCATCCTTGGAAGGCTGGGTATTATTATTTTAAGTATTTTTATTTTCCTAATTTAATATTTTAATGGTACTGTGTCTATAATTATTTTTCTTTTTGAGAAGTCTTATTTACTTTGTTTCATAAAATATGCTACATTTCTTTGATAAGTAGTGAGGTTTGAACACTTTCTCATATGTGTGAAATTACATTTTGTGTTTTGGCATGGGGGGGGTGTTTGTTAATTTATGAATCAGTGCCTCGAATTTGTCATTGGAATGAGAAATATTTAATAAAAAGTAACTTCTTTTTCTTATTTCATCCAGGTTTTTATTTTCATTAGACTTTGAATGTTGGGCCACAGAAACCTCATTCTAGCTAGGGATGGAGTACATAAAACACAATTAATCTGTTGATATGTTTATGTTAATATTTGTTTCCTGAAGGCAATGAGACATGACATTCAGGCAGTAGTGGCATGTATATACATGAATGGGGCAAGATTTTGAAGAAATTCAGAAGCTTTCAAACCACAAATCTTTCAAGGCTGATCCTGGGGATGGTTGTCAGGAGAGTGGATGAACATGTTCAATCATGAGCCAGAAAAGCCAAAGTTCAGGCTGTCAAAAGCTGTGATTATTATTACTAAAGAAGCAAAATGAAAATAGTTATGACTTTTGAAGTAAGAAGTGACTCTTCTTACTCTCTGGGAACCTGAACATGCCTTCTTAAATTTATACACTCAAGAGTCTATGTCCAATAAAATATTATTTGAATGTTTATGGTGGTTGCCTTAGCTTCTTGTACTAAAAACATAACAATTATAAAATTAGTGCGGTTTTGGTGAGTAAGTTCAACATCAGCAAGTAAGAGAAATTTCTGATTATAAAAGCAAGGGGGTGGGGTGGGGGTGGGGTGGGGGCTGGGGTTGTGGCTCAGGGGTAGAGCACTTGACTAGCATCCATGGGGCACTGGGTTCAATTCTCAGCACCACATACAAATAAATTAAAAAAAAATAAAATAAAGGTCCATCAACAACTAAAAAAATATTTTTAAAAAAGCAAGGGCACAGTAATATGTGAAACTCGAGGGCAGTGTTTTATATCTCAGCCCAATGGGGATAACACGTTCTTGTAAACAGAATTCAACCAAGTTCCAACAAGCCTGAGTGGCACGAGACTCTTCCTTATCTGTGTTGATTTGTTACACACATAGCCATCCATTTGGTGTGTACAGCCCACTTAGGCCAATGACAGCAACTCAGGGTTATAAATGACATATATATATATATATATAAATTACCAGTACACAGCTTGTCTGCTTAATTAGTCCAGACTGACTCAACATATCACAAGGGACTGTTGTCTACACTTCTAATTTGCTTTACCCTCGGGCTGATCAACTCGACTAAATTAAATCAGGTCCTTTCTTGCTGGGTCCAGCCCTCAGTTCCAAGTCCAAATGCCATTCTTCATTTACATGAATCCCACCCTGCTGGGTCTGCTGAGGATTTCGTCCTGGCACCTCCTGGACATGCCACTCCTTTCAGGTTCCTTTTCCCAAGTTAAATTTATTTTTTTCTTGATTTTCCAGCCTTGAGCTAAGAATCCCAAACCCCTTCCTTTTTCTCTTCCCCATTTGTTCCCTTGCTGACCTTCACTAGTCACCTTTGTTTGTCTTTATTCTGAGCAAGTCTTTGTCTTTTATTTCCATGACTAATAATTATGTACCAATCATTGAGAATGTGCTCAGTAAATGATAGTTGTCTCCTTATCTCCCATTTCATGTCTGCTCTTTTCTGTTCCTTCTCAAACTCTGGCCATTCTTGAGTTATCATCAGATAATAGAAAGAGCACAGAGTTAGGTTCTAGCTGGATGAACTTGGTTACATACTTAACTTTCTTGGCTTAACTTTTCTTTACTTAACTTTTCCTCATTTGTAAAAGAGGGCTGGCTAGATGATATGGTAGGTTGTTTGCAAAGAAAGCCTCAAAATTCCTCTTCTCCCTGAAGGTACACTCCCTTGCAATGTGACTTTGCCATTCCTCCCATCAAGAAGTAGGATCTCTTTCACTGCACCCTGGAATCTGGACTGGCCTTGTGCTTTCTTAGGCCAACAGAATGTGGTGGAAGTGAAACGGTGAGACATCTAAGTCCAGGCTCCAAGAGATCTTACTGGTTCTGCCTTCTCCCTTTGGGAATCTTGAGACCACTGTAATATAAAGCCCCAGGCTAGTGTCCCTGAGGGTGAGATCATTCACAGAGACCCAGCTGAAAGCCATCACCAATTGCCAGACATGTAAGCAAAGCCATCTTAGTCCATCCAGATCCAGGTGACTACAACCCCCCCCCACCTTCCCCCCTGCCTGAAAAATTGAGTGATCCCAGGTGGCCAGTCCAGCTGGGTCCAGCCCAAATGGCTGTCTCACAGAATCATAAGCTAATAAACAGAAACTGTCTTTTAAGTTTTGAGGTGATTTGTTGTGTATAATTTTTAGAAATTGGAGATAGATGAGATTACCTTGAAGATCTCTTCTGTTCTAAAATCTGTGGTCAAAACCCTCAGCATTGCTTAAATCACATTTAAGTGAGACATCTTAGGCTGACAAGAGCCTTAAGACATAATTGGTTCTATATCCTTCTCTGCAGGTAAAATAATAATAATAAAAAAATAATGGCAGATGATATGTATTGAGCTCTTCCTATCTCCAGGATCTTGCAGTCATTATTGTTAATCCTCGTGATAATGCTGCAGGAGGACACTGAAGCCTGGCAAACCAGGCAAGCTGGAGTCGTTGAACTGCCCTGTGAACTCATGCTTCTGATTCTCAAACCAGTGTTCTCTTAACCATATATCTTATGGTCTCTGTGTATTATTAACCCCACTAGTGAACAATACAACTGTATGAGCATACAGTGACATTTGCTAACTACACTAGTGGTGATGATCATCCAAATATGCTGGAAAGACAGCAGTTATACAAAATTTAAAAGCAAACAAGACCCCTAAGCCAGAAAATAGGAATTATAGTTTTCATGATCTTCTCAGCAAAATTTAAAACAGTTCTCAAAATAGCTCCCTTTATCAGGTCCTCTGGCCAATGGTATCAATTCCTCTTTTTTGCTGTTCTTACCTCTCTTTTTATCTCCTACTTGTATCCTTCCCCTTGTCCCCCACTTTTCTTACTTCCTTGGCTTCTGTATGTATGTTGTTTTTCTTTCACAAATGACTTTCCCATGAGTGACTGTCCCATTACATCTTATTCTGTCTTCCAGGCAGCCAGGAATCCTGATCACTATCAACCCTCTACTCTAGGCTTTAAGGACTTCTTGCCAAATTCTTGAGGAATCTTAAACTCTCCACCCATTCATGTCTCACAGGTTCAGTCATAGGTGAGCCCCAGAATGAATCTCTCAAGAACACTAAATCCTGTGAAAGCACATTTGCCTCTTTATTCACAGGTGATCAAAGTAGCGTAAAAGTTTTCCTTCCACACAGGAATTCAAACATATTTTGTTTCGTATTGACACAACACTCAGGAAAGCACAAATGTAAGGCATGGGGCAGGAACTAGTTCCTGAGTCACAGTTTAGACTAGGGTTAATGTCACAATGAAGAATAGATCAGTATGCCCAAGCAGAAACTTTTCAAAATGCTGAATCCCCAAAGCAGACTCACCATCTTTGGAAAATGTTGCTTTTGTCTTCCTGCTTCAGAAAGGTGATATTTCCAGGTAAAGATTTCTTACTGTGCTTGCTGACTAAAGAATGCTTAAGGACAAGTGTGAGTTCTTAGCCACTTCTCCCCCTGTTGCTCCTCTGAAAAGATTTGTTATTTGAGAGCCTTTGCCTTGACATCAGAGCTGGTCTTTGGCTCAGCCCACAGGGAGGGGCAGGGACTAGGAAAACCAAACAGGTATATTGAAAATGTGTTCTTTTGATAATGGCAAAGTTAAACCACAAGAGGGAAGTCTGCAGGAAGGAAAGCTCAGATAAGAAAAAAGGGTAAAGTGAGCAACAACAACAAATCTTTAGAACTCAAAGGGCAGCAACACAACAATGGCACCAGCATTCAAACCAAGCTCAATGATAAAATCCATTTAAACTCCCTTGAATGGTTGTGATCCAGACTGCGCACCATGGATAAAAGAAAATCGCTTTATATTTTAACAATTGATCATTGTTCCCTTCGGAATGTTTGTTTTAATATAACACAAAGTCACAACAGAAGGAAAATAGAAATGATGTAAGTAAAAATAAAGGCATGTAATTGCGGTATGGGTTCAGCTCACAGTGAGTGATCCCTTACCTAAAGTCACCTGAAAGAAGGTTCTGTAGAAAATACTTGCTGCCCGGCTGGAGGTTCAACTTGGAGTTGAACTGTTAATTCCCCCTCATAGCCACCAGGGATCTTCTGTCCTCCTAGATTTACCCAATCTCTTTTTGTTTGTGCCTTTTCCCTAAACTATACCATAAAGCACCCAGGATCACTTCCATATTTACCAGATTATACTGAATTACTTGCCATGTATGTACCTGTATGGCTGTCTCACTAGGCTGTCAGCTCCTTGAGGGCAGGAACTGTGGCTCATTCACTTGGCTTCCTCAGGGCTCAGCATGGTTCCTGACTTAAGGGCAATCAGTAAAGATTTGCACTACTTTTGGAGTAATGAATGAATTCTACAAAAATTTCATGCCATCAGTTGCTTTACAGCAACTCAGTCAATATTTACTGTGAGAGATGTGACTCTGCACACAAATTGAAATCATGTCTATAAGAAGTAAATTTTTCATAGGATTAGTATCAGAAAGTTAATTATAGCTTACATTTACACAGCGCTTTTACTGGACCAGGCACGGTGATACATGTTAACTAATTTAATCTTCACAAGCACCCTTGTGAAGGTCGATAGTCACCATTTCCTACTTTATCAATGAGGATGTTAAAATACTGACAGGCTAAATTAAATTCAGACTTATTGATTTAAATGCTGTCCTTAACCTTTATTACTTGTACGATTTTAATCTCTCTGTACCTCAGTTTTCTCATATATCAAGTGGGTATAAGAGGGATGATTTCTCATGGTGCTTTTGTGAGGATTGCGTTAAGGCACAAAAGGTCTGTGTTTGGCACAGATGAAGTGCTGAGCAGGTTGGGAGGCAGAGTTTATAGAGAAGAGTGCTGGGGTGGACAATTTGTATCACCATCCCAAACACAACAGAGGGGGACATCAGGAAGAGAATGGCCCTTAGGGCTTTTCCTTCCTGTAAGGAAAGTCAAAAGCATCAACTATTTGGCTTAGGCATAATAGATGCCCTCCTGGATCTCCACATTGTACTCAAATCAAAAGCATGCTTCCGCCAAAACCAAAGCTTTCAGGGCAGATAGGCTCAGATGTCACACTCAAGATGAGGAACTGGCTGGGAAGGCCCACTGCTGGCCGCTGCACTGAGTGGCCATCATTCACACTGTGCTGAAACGCAATGGCTGAGGCCAAGATTTGGGCTGCACAATTGCTTACAAGTGTTGCATCAGTTTTATCAAAAGATTTAAAAACACATACTATTCTAAACACAAAAAGGCAAATGTACATAAACTGGGAAGAGCTTATACTTGTATTTATCATAAACCTGGATTCCTGTCAAATTTCTGAAATTAACCATTCTTTGATTCAATTGATAGTTATTGAGCAGTAATTATGCACCAGATACTGTTCTAGGAGCTTGGATCACACAGTGTACAAGAGACAAAGGTCCTCACCTTCTTGGGGCTTGCAGTCTATCAAGTATTTCCACAGCCACATTCCTTGTCCAAACTACCACCATTTCTTTTTCTTTTCTTTTTTAAAAATATTTATTTATTTTTTAGTTGGACCAATATCTTTACTTATTTATTTTTATGTGGTGCTGAGGATCGAACCCAGGTGTTAGGCGAGCGCTCTATCACTGAGCCATAACCCCAGCCCAAACTACCACCATTTCTTATCTGGAAGGCTGCAGGAACCTCCTACCTTCTAATCTGGATCTCCTTCTATCCAGACTCCACACAGCAGCCAAAGCAAATTCCAGAGAACAATATTTTGACAAATTGAATTTTAACGATTAAATTGTCTTTTATTAGCAATTCATGAATTGGACAGCATCCCATCTACAAAATAACTCTGTTGGGCATGGCAGAACAGATGATTTTTATAAAGTAGCTTGAGCAGGATCAAAGAAATAACAGAATATATAAAAGATATTGGCTAATGTAAGGTTATTTCAGGTTACTTTTATTGTAAGAACTAAAGTAGAGGGGGACTTTCTTATCATGTTGGCTCAGGTTGACTGATGGTTTTGATTATTTGTTGTGATTTTTTTTTTGAAAACCTTATCTTTTGGGATATTTTCTTATTTTGTTTGATTTCTTTTAAGTTTGGGTCTGATTATGTGACATTTAACACAAATGACTCCATTTTGGAATGGCTATTGGGGACTAGTGTAGGAGCTCAGATACGGGTCTTATTGATGATTGGACA